AGCTTAAAAAAAGTGGAAACTTGGACAAATGACCAGGGAGGGGTATAAATGTATAGCTCAAGAATGCAGGGGGGTTATTAGGAAGGCAAAAGTGCAATTGGAATTGCGACTGGCAAAGGATGTGAAGGATAACAAGAAAGGTTTCTACAGGCATGTTAACAAGAAGGTGATCAGTGAGTGTGTGGGGCCCCTACTGGATAAAGGAGGTAACCTAGTGACAGATGATGTGAGGAAAGCTTAAGTACTCAATGCTTTCTTTGCCTCTGTACTCACGGACAAGGTTAGCTCCTGGATTAATGCAATAAGTGACACAAGAAGGGATGGAGATGGACAGCCCTTGGTGGGTAAAGAACAGGTTAGGAACTATTTAGAAAAGCCAAATGTACACAAATCCCTGGGTCCGGACTTAATGCATCTGAGGGTACTGAGGGAGTTGGCAAATGTCATTGAGGAGCCTTTGGCCATTATCTTCGAAAAGTCATGGAGATCGGGAGAGATCCCGGATGATTAGAAAAAGGCAAATGTAGTGCCCATCTTCAACAAAGGGAAGAAGGACGATCCAGGGAACTATTGGCCGGTGAATCTTAGCTCGATCTCTGGAAAAATCATGGAAGGGATCCTTAAGGAATCCATTTTGAGGCACTTGGAAGGGAGGAAAGTGATCAGGAATAGTCAGCATGGATTCACAAAGGACAAGTCGTGCCTGACCAATCTGATTAGCTTCTATGATGAGGACTCCGTGGACATAGGATGGTCAGTGGATGTGATATACCTTGACTTTACAAAGCTTTTGATAGGGTCTCCCACAATTCCTGTCAGCAAGTTACGGGAACGTGGACTGGATAAATGGACGGTAAGATGGATAGAAAGATGGATAGAAGGCCGGGCCCAGCGGGTAGTGATCAATGGCTCGATGTCAGGATGGTGGTCGGTTTCTAGCAGAGTGCCCCAAGGTTCAGTTCTAGGATCGGTTTTGTTCAATATCTTTATTAATGACCTGGATGAGGGGATGGATTGCACCCTCAGCAAGTTTGCAGATAACACTAAGCTACGGGGAGAGGTAGATATGCTTGAGGGCAGAAATAGGGTCCAGAGTGACTCAGACAAATTGGAGGATTGGGCCACAAGAAATCTGATGAGGTTCAACAAGGACAAGTACAGAGTCCTGCACTTGGGATGGAAGAATCCCAAGCATTGTTACAGGCTGGGGACCAACCAGCTAAGTAGTAGTTCTGCAGAAAAGAACCTGGGGGTTACAGTCAATGAGAAGCTGGATATGAGTCAATAGTGTGCCCTTGTAACCAACAAGGCTAATGGCATATTAGGTTGCAGTAAGAGGAGCATTGGCAGCAGATCCAGAGATGTCATTATTCAGCTCTGGTGAGGCCACATCTGGAGTAGTGTGTCGAGTTCTGGGCCCCCCACTACAAAAAGGATGTGGACGCATTGGAGAGGGTCTAGCAGAGGCAACCAAAATGATTAGGGGGCTGGAGCATATGACCTATGAGGAGAGACTGAGGGAGTTGGGTCTGTTTAGTCTGCAGAAGCGAAGAGTGAGGAGGGATTTGATAGTAGCCTTCAACTTCCTGAAGGGAAGTTCCAAAGAGGATGATGAAAGGCTGTTCTCGGTAGTGACAGACTGCAGAACAAGAAGCAATGGTCTCAAGTTGTGGTGGGAGAGGTCCAGGTTGAATATTAGGGAAAACTATTTCACTAGGAGAGTGATGAAGCACTGGAATAGGTTACCTAGAGAAGTAGTGGAGTCTCCATCCCTAGAAGTGTTTAAATCTCGGCTTGACAAAGCCCTGGCTGGGTTGATTTAGTTGGGATTGGTCCTGCCTAGATCAGAGGGCTAGACTTGATGACCTTTTGAGGTCTCTTCCAACTCTATGGTTCTATGATTCTAGTAGTGGTGGCAGGAAGAAGAGGACTCCCGTTGCATTGCGGTAGCTGATGCTGCTGGAGGGCGCATTGGTGCCAGTGGGGAAGAGCTCAGTTCCGAGCTGGGAGAGTGAGTCAGTGGTCTGGATGATTTTGACTTCATCTTCATCGGTGCTGATGTTTCAGTCAGCACCTGTGGTATGGCTGGTGCCCGTGTCTTGTCCGTTTCCCCATTGCCGGGTATCACCAGTGCCAGCATGGTCAGTGCTGAGAGTTGCGGAGTTTTCTATTTTGGTCCTGCAACAGACACGGCTCGAGGTCGCCCAGTGCCAGAGGTGCCCGGCTTGTCTCCCTTACTGATTCTGGGAGGCAGTAATCGGATTGGAGATGTTCTCCTTTTTGCAGGCAGTAGAGATGATGGTGAGCCTGTCTGCTTCTTTTGCTTAGCCAAGGCCTCTTGCTGAGAACCCCCATCCTTGGCAGGCTGTGGTTCCAATGCCTTGTCGAAAAGGAGCATGCAAAGTCTAAGCTTTGTTCTTCTAAGCCCTAGTCATAAGGCTTCTGCAAGGCTACGTATAGACTAAAAGCCGCTTTTGAAAGAGGCTTTTTCCAAAGATACTTTTGAAAAGCCTCTTTCAAAAAAATGCATCTAGACTACAACCAGTACTTTCGAAAAAGCAAGCCACTTTTTTGAAAGAGAGCACCCAGACAGTCTGGATGCTCTCTTTTGAAAAAGCACAATTTGCATTTGTGGCGTAGTGGGGGTGCTGTTTGACTGTATATTGGTGTTGTTTGTTACCAGGCAAGCCGGGCATTTTGGTTGACTCCTTTTCGTAGATAGATTTTTTTTTTAATCTTCCTGTGTTCTTCTCTCCCCCTTTCTTTTTTTTTTTTAAGAAGGGGAAGGGAGGAACAAATTGAGTGCTTGTTCTGATGCAGTGATTATTTACATAAGACAACAGGATATCTAATCTAATTCTTTTTTTTTCTTTTTGCAATTGAATGACTAAACACAATAACTTACAACTAAACAACCGTAACTTATTATCTACAGGATCCTGAGAGGAGGAGAGAACTGGACTCCGTCTGCAACTGAGGGCAGTTTGAGGAAAACTGAGGAGAATTGGGCCAAGCGCGCGAACTTCAAAGGCATGAACCAAATGCGCCACATATAAGCATGTGTGGCCCCACCAGATACTATTTGAAAAATCTCCCACCTGTAGCACCGGGAGGAGCTCGACACCAACAGTGGAGCACCCACGGGGACATCACTCAAAGAAAACCATGGTGCTGACACTGCCATTAACTTAAAGAAGACACAGGGAAAAATGCATATTTGAGGCATGGCTCAGGTGTAGCACAGCTTCACAGGTGATTATTCAGCCCTCTCCCCTCCCTCCTTCCCCAGCAGGAGCCCTGAGGCTCCGACAGGGCAGGGATGATTAATCACCTGTGACCCTGTGGGAACACTGGTCACTTTATAATTCCACCACAAAATAAGCAAGGCATTTCTCAGTGACTGCACAATTAAGTCATTTTAAAAGCACTAAGCCCAAAATGCCTTCTCTAACCATCCCAAGTTCTCAAGATTACAACAGAAATGCACTACCTCAGTATCTTACTACTACTGTAAAGGGAAAAAACTGTTCATTTACTAGACATTATTGATAGTTAGGACATCACTAACAATCCATCAGGAAGCTTTATATGACCAACATTCTCTACCATATTTGTTATACTTGTTTATTCAATCTACTGGTAAAAAGTTACATGCAACAAAACATTTAAAATGTGGAGATTTTTTTTTATAAAAGAATACTAATGTGATAATTGTGTAAGTGCCCATAAATCATGTCTGCACTGAAGCACTGAGGCAATATTCAGTATTGGTGTAAACATCAGCTGAATCATTGAAGTTATGCCTGCTTACATTAACAGCTAAATTTAACTCTGGGATTTGAATATTATTTTAATAAATAAAACCTGTAAATCCTCCAAGTCTGAACACACACATTAATATGAAGAGATACTCAAAATTATCAAATCAATCATCAGAAGAGGCACATACCACTCAACTCACGAGGCCTGATTCAAAGCCCACTGAAGTCAATGGGAGTTTTTCCAATGACTTCAAAGAGCACTGGACCAAGCCCTAAAGCATTCACTTCCCAGTGTGCTTCAAAAGAAGATAGCCAAGTATCTCAACTGGATGTAGAGTAATGAATCAACAGGTAGAATGCTAGAAGAACAATCTCAGAAGAAGGAATAAGAATTTAAGGGCTGACGTATCCTCCAATATGCGACTTTCCAAGAAGAAAAAGATTTGTTAATATGCTTCCAAAAGAGGTAAGTGTAGCCAACTAAACAGATAAGAAAAGGAAACATTACAAGACCATAATGCAAACAAACATAGGTACTGACTCCATGGGTGGAGAATCCAGAGGAAAAAAATAATGGGTACTCTCTGCACCCATTGGCAACCCTTCCCACCAGCTCCTTTCCCTTCTGCCAGCAGGCCCCACCGATCAGCTCTTCCCTCCCCACCAATGCCTCCTGCCCACCACAATCAGCTGTTCAGCAGCATACAGAAAGTGCTGGGGAGAAGCAGGGGCAGGGCATGCTCAAGAGAAAGGATGGAACAGAGATGGAAAGAAGTGAGGCAGGGACAGAGAGGGGGGTGGGAAGCGTTGGGATGGGACTTTGTGGGGAAGGGGGAAGGCAAGGTCTGGGGCAGAGAACAACTCCAGAGAAAGTGGAAAGTTGGCACCTCCGCAATTAGAAGCTCATTTTGAACAGTGCCAGTCTATCACATGTCTTTTTTAAGTCACTGTCTAATCATGCTCCCTCTTTTTTTCTGACAGATCATACATACTAAAGCAAAAGTTCATAACATTCAAATACATTTTCTGGTAGCATTTTTACCCTCAAAATTAAATCATTGCCATATGGAAAATAAGAAAATTTTCAACACGATTTTGTATAATTTTATTCCATTTCTTCTACAGGCAACACTCTTACCCAAATATAATATTTTTTAATGACTACTAGTAACTCAAGTCATTGAGTAAAAAAAACAAGTTAACGTGATATTTTATATATTGAACTGAATAAATTCTTACCAGCTTACTAAAATGGTATTTACAGTATCCACAGTATTGGACATTATCTGCACCATTACCCTCTTCTTCACAAAGAAGTCCTGCAAACTGTGCACTGGAAAAAAAACAAAACCAACAACATTCAAGATCAAAAGTAATTTTATCAAGTCACCTCAATATCTGCAGAAAAGACTTTCAAATATAGATGCCTAAAGTTAGTGGGGAGATTTCCAAAAGGTAGTACATGCAGCTATCACTTCTCAATGTGAAGTGCTGCCTCACTGACCTTTGTAAGTCTACCCCGAGTCTACTCAATCCATATTTAGACATCTAAATAAGGCACTAGTCCTACAACGGACGCAGTTGGGTACAAAACACATTTTAAAATCAGGTCACTAACTGAGTTTCCTAACTCTAAACTTGTCCACATTTGTAGTAGCGTGCAGGGTACATGTAACTACAAAGGGCAGCAAAAGGTAGCCTGCATCCACACACACTGCTGTATGTAGTTCCACAAGGCATTGAAAGGATCCAGAGGCGGGAAGCTGAAGGAAGGATCCTTCAGCAGCAGCAGCCCCAGCAGCAGCAACCAGAGTTTTTCCTTGCTACCATTATACCTGTTAGAGCCTTTTCCCACCACAATTAAAGGCTTCAGCACTGAGGAGCTACTGGAGCCTGTCCATGCTACCAGTGTCTTTCACTGTGGCAGTGGGGAGGGTAGCAGTGGGGAGCAGAGGGACACGATATTATTAAATTTAGCAATGTGTATATGGAGGCACTGTTTAGGCGTATAGAGAGCCATGTAAGATATATGCCCTAGTGCTCAAGCAGGTAGGATATTCTACTTTCCTAAGCAGTGCCTCCTCATCTACCCTGCCACTTACACCTACACTAGTTGGGCAAAAAACGTCTGTACTTTACATACTGCCACACTGTAGATTTACCTTCAAACTCTTAGCCTTAAAAACTTCATTTATCTAAGCAAAAAAATAGTTTTCAACAGACTGATGGACAACAGTAGAAACTATTCAAGTTCTGAACATGTCAACAGCTCCTCTTCTGATTTACCAGTGGCATTCCATTAACAGAAAATATAAATATTTATGAATTTTTAAATAAAACTGAAAGCACCATAACAAATGAAGCCAGATTTTATTGCTTTAAAATGGTCAGTACAAATTAAACAGTAATAAGTTACCAGGACCAGACTATTTTCACCCATAGGTTCGGAACAAACTCCAATGCAAAACTACTAACTGTGGTACATAAATAATATAAACCAGTAGAAAAATGCTGCTGGTTGTAGGTGTTCTGCTAATCAGCTGGGAAGCAGAATGGGAAGACAAATAGTGATGTCCTCCACAGGTCAGTACTGGGACCAGTGCTGTTCAACATATTCATAAATGATCTGGGAAAAGCGGTCAACAATGAAGTAGCAAAGCCATGGATGATATAAACCTATTTAAGATAGTTAAGTCCAAAGCAGACTCTGAAGAATTACAAGGGGGAAGGTCACAAAACTGAGTGACTGAGGAAAGTATTTTTTTCACAGAATGTACAGACAAACTGTGGAACTCTTTGCCGGGAGTGTTGTGAAGATGGACTACAGTTCAAGACCGCAGGGTTTTAAAAAAAAAACCACAAGAACTGTATAGGTTTATGGAGGACAGACCCAATAATGGCAATAAGCTAAGATGGGCCGGGACAGTAGGCCTAGCCTCTATTGCAAGAAACTGGAAATGGATGAGTGACCAAAAAAATAGCAGATGAAATTCTATGTTGATAAATGCAAAGTAATGCACATTGCAAAACATGATCCCAATTATACATAAACCTTGATTTTAATTAGCTGTTACCACTCAAGAAACAGATCTTGGAGTTATCTGTGGATAGTTCTCTGGAAACATCCACTCAATATGCAGTAGCAGTCAAAAAGCTAACAAACCACTGGGAATCATTAGGAAAGGGACAGTTAATAAGACATAAAATATCTTATTGACTCTATATAAATGCATGGTATGCCCACATCTTGAATACTGCATAAGATGGGGTTGCCCCATCTCTAAAAAAATATGCTGCAATTGAAAAGGTACAGAAAAGGACAACTAAAATGACTGATTAGCTTCTGTATAAGGAGAAGTTCATTAAGACTGGGACATTTCATCTTGTAAAAGAACAACTAAAGGGGAATATGAGAGAGGTCTATAAAATAATGATTGGTGTGGAGAACGTAAAGAAGGAAGCGTTATTTACTCACTCATATAACAGAAGGACTAGAGATCACTACATGAAATAAATAGGCAACCATTTTAAAACCAACAAAAGTATTCCTTCACATGACGCTCAGTCCATGTGTAACTCTTCGCCAAAGGATATTGTGAACACCAAGACTATAACAGAGTTCAAAAAAAGAACTTGATAGGTCCATCAAAGGCTATTACCCAGGAGGGACAGGGTTTGTGTTCCTGCCGCTGTTGCAAGAAGCTGGGAATGGGTGACAGGATATGGATCACTTGTTCTGTTTATGCCTTCTGAAGCACCTAGCATTAGTTATTATCAGAAGACAGGATACTAGGTTAGATGGACCTATGCTGTGAGCCAGTATGACTGTTCTCAAGCTCTTGTATTCATTGAGAAGGCTCTCTGAAGAGGGAAGGGAGTTGTGGAGGGGATAAGGATGTAAAATGGATAGAATACCCATTGCGAACAATCTCCAAGGCCTATCAGTCATATCTTATGCGTTCCCACATGCCATGGAATGTTGGTGAACAGTAGCCAAATTGGTAAATAGTAGTGGTCAGCTATAGTGACTGGGTGGCGCAGAGGTCTATGAATGCCTCAACCAACACACCAAAATTAGTATTTCGAAGTGGATGGCTAGGACAGTTTCTCAACCTTTTTTTTTTATATAGAGTACCCCTTTAAAAAAAAATATAAGTACCCACAGTACCTACAGTTTTCAGACACAATTTTTTTTCTCTCAGTGCAACACATTTGTTTAAACAACTTAATTGTAGCCAGGCAGATGATAAAATTTTTGGGTGTAAAAAGTAAAAAAATAATAAAGCACTGTAAAACTTAAAACAAAAACTGAGTTTTCTCCAAATTTCAGTTGTGTTGACGTACCCCCCAGATTTCTCTCAAGTACTTGTAAGGGTACTAGTACCACTGATTGAGAAACATTGGACTAGGACATGGAAGATTATGGACCAGATGGTTTACATCTCAGGAATTGAGTTTTCTATGTCCCTGATTTGTAGTAGTGCTGAGTCAGGTTTTGGGAGGTACATGGCTTATGATGTGGCTACATCCTGGCATGTAGATGCCTAGTGAGGAGAGAGTAGTCCTAGAATCTTTTTGTGTGTGAAAGAAACACATCTGTCTTCTCCATTAGGCACTTAATGTCTTCAAAGAGAAGGTTTTCAATGGTTGATTGCTTCTCTTTTGGGAAACATGACAGAGGTAGCCATTATGCACGTCTCAAACATTGCAATGGAGATGAATCTGGCCATTCTGTCAACTGTATTGAGAGCAATGGAGTCTTGGCCATTAACTGTCCCTCTTGAATAATGGCTCTTCAATAAAATTGTTCAGTTTCATACAATTTAGGGTGGGCATGGCCAACCCGCGGCTCTTCTCCCGATCAGAGCGGCTCACAAAGCCACCCCTGAGGCTCGCAAAGCCATCCCCACGGCCCCTGAACGTGGCCCACACCTCCTGGCTCCTGTGTGCTCACTAGGGTAGGGGAGCTGTCCGGATCAAAATGAAGGATCCAATATGGCGGCCGCCAACGGAAGCCTACTGATGCCAAAAAGCCTTCTTAAAGGGCAAGTACTTTGGGGGTGTGATGGGTTTTTTTGTTTTTTTCTCCCCTCTACAACTTTGTGTCCCAGCTCTTCTCACTGGATCCAGCTGGATCTTGGCTCTTTGTCCGGAATGGATTGGCCACCCCTGGTTTAGGGCATTATACTTCATCATTAGGATTTGGTAATAGGCTATTTGAAACTGCAGCATGGGTGAAGAGTATGGTTTCTCTCAAAAAGATTCAAATGCTTCTAGTCCCCATCATAAGGAGTAGACCTCATCTGGTGTTGATGGCCATAAAAATTAACAGAGTACACCACAATGGATTTGGGTGGAAAATGAGAGAACAGGAATTCTGTCTCCCTTGCTGAGACACAACATTTTTTTTTATCTGCCCACTGGCAAGCAGGTGCTACTGATGCTTTACGGTTTGCATTTGGGTTGCAGGGTTCAATTTAATAAGGAGGGCAATTTCTGAGGGCAAGAATGAATGGAGCATGTCAAGAGTTTTTTGGTGGGTATGCTTGACTTCTGCTATGGTATCCAAAGAGTGTCTGCCACTCTCTTCAATAGGTCTTGGAACAGGCATCAGTCAGACTTTGGAGGGGAGGCATAACAGACTCATCTGGACAGGAAGAGGATATGGCACTTTGGTCACCTTTTCCTCAATGCCACCCTGCTAATTTTTTTTGAGGGAGGAGGAGATTCCAAAGTTCCAGATGATGCAGCCAAAGGTGAGCATCACAAGGATTCTTGGGTGGGGTTAGAAGCTTGAGAGGTATGGGGGCAATATGTAGCCCAAGAGTCCCAGTATAGCCACTGAGGCGGTGATGGCATACAGCCCAATGGTGGTGCCCTATGGTTGACTGTACCCAGATGATGGTGGCGGGGCCCTCTCAGGATATGCTCACAGGCCCTATTGGTATCGGGTACCATAGGGATCTAGGGAGGAGTATTGTAGTAATTCCTATTCTGGTTGCTGTCTAAGTATACACTTTAGAATGAGGGAGCATGGTAGAACAGCAGGGAAGATTCCTATACCATACAGATTCTCATGGCAGAGGTCCCTGTACAGAGAAGACACTGGTACCTCAGATATGTGACAATCCCTTGAGTGCTGAAATTTCAGCAGTACTAAACAACTTGGTGCCTTTGGCAATACCAGAAAGGAGGGAGATCATGCCCGTACCAACCCTTCTGGTGCTCATAGTGCAGGGGTGGCCAACCCGCAGTCATCTGAAGAAACGGGTTGTGCCCACGAAAGCTTATGATACCATCTACATGTTTTGTTAGTCTATAAAGTGCTACCAG